CACACGCACACACACGCATATACATACATATATATATATATATATAATATATATATATATATATATATATATATATATATATATATATATATATATATTAAACATCATGGGAAATGTCTTGCATTGTCAAAAACATGTGAACACCACGTAAGCAGTGTTTCATCATTATGTGCTTACATGTATGAATGCATGTATGCAAATGTGAAGTTAGCTCATTTTGACAAAAATATCATGAATATTAAAGCATTACACTGCTTATTTATGTATGAATAGGATTTGTGTAGTTTTATATATTTTTGAGGAAGCATGTAAGGATGGATTACAATTTTCTTACACTTCTTCCTTTTTTTGTTCAGGCCTAATATTCGCATATGATCTACATCTACCCTAAGGTAATGGAAAACAGCATTCATCTCATTCGGGTTGAAAATTCAAATTCTCCTTAAGTCTCAGCCAAGACAGTCCTTAAACCTCTGCGAATGTCTTTTGTGCAGGCAGGATCATGGGGGAAATAGAGTTGGGAGCAGCTGCAGAGGCCACCATCATGGCCTACAAAGAACTGGCTTCTGATCCTGGCAAGCGATTAGCACTAGCATTGGTATGTCTTTTCAAACAGTTGAGTTCTTTCAAAAGTTTAATTGGTTAAGGAATGGACAATGATTGGTATCAAGATATTGTTCCATAGTAGTAAGTAGATTCCTTTGGAATATCATTTACCTTCATGATTATTAGAGTATATGAAGGAGTTTAATGTTAATGTAATTAGGAAAAGAAAACTTTATTAATTTTTTTTTTTTTTTTTTTTACTGAAGCATTTTAAAATTCTTTTGAACAGGATCGTACGTGTATCCAATTTTTGGCATATGTTGTGGCGGAAGGAGAAGGGTCATTGGTGAAGGCCGCAATAGAAACATTATCCCTTATTGCACAAGCTATAGAATGCAGACAATCATTAGCAAACACTTTTGGTGTACTTGAATCACTGCAAGCAGTTACAGAGTAAGATTTTTAAAGATTTGTATTTATCTTTTGTGAAAAAGGATGGCATTATGAGAATTTCCTTGAATTTTGTTGATTTTTAAGATTGAATGTGATATTTCATTTTTTAGAATACAGAGACTTCTTTAGACTGAAAGGGTATATAAGACACTTGGATATGAAGTAGGTTGTGTTGTGGGATAGCATAGAAAATTTTGATGTTGTATTTTCAGGGATGAAGAATGTTACAGTGATGAATTACGTGATGAAGCAGCAGCTCTTTTTACAAGCCTCCAGTATGCTCGTTATATGAAAAAGTCTCGCAGTCCCCAGACTCCAACTGCTAGCTCTAAACCAGAACAAGAGACAAAAAAAACAGACGATGTAGACAGTGCACCAAAGAAAAGCCCTATTGATGAAAGCTCCTCTGTAAATACTTCCCAAATGAACAAAGACTGTGTAGAGAAGCCCCACAAGAAAGACAGTGTTGAAAGCAAAAGTTCAGAAGGATCCCCAAAGAAAACTGGAGACACTGAGGGATCTCCGAAGAAAGCAGACTCAGCAAGAAGCAGCATCGGCAGTAGATCTCTCTCTACAGATGAAGAGGTATTCTAGGGTTTAGCTGTTTTGTTTTTTCCAAATAGCTAATTGAAAAATATGCTTCTTAAAATTATTTGGAAAGCTGATTTCAAGCCGGTTTGATGAAGTAAGGCTCTGAAAGATTATGAATATATCATTCTAATTATAGATTAACATGTCTTTTCCCATTGAGGTTTTTATTTATATATACTAATTTTACTTTAGTCACAATCTCTACAGTAGAATGTATTAATCATATACTTTAGAATAGAATGGAAAATAAAATGGACCAAGTGATATGTCAAAAACATCTTTTGTAATATCTTTCTTCTTACATTTTGATATTTTCAGCTTTCCAGACTTGAGAAAAAAATGCGTCAGCCTACTGAAATGAAAGGTGGCTTTTTGGGACCAAACAATTCTAAAGCAAAGATTGTCACTCTTTTCATCAAAGGAATGGTTGCCCCTGTATGTGCCTGTACTTTTGTTTTCTTAAAGGTTTTATTTGGCATTGAGTATTTTCAAGTTACTTGAGTGCTTTGATGTAATAGTTTTATAAAGATTGTATTTATATAAAGCTAAGCTTTATATAAATAACTCTGAAAATATGCAAGTTATTTTGATTATACATGACCCTGTATTTCTGGATTCATTGTGCAGACTCTCTAATCATGGATGTTATGGTCATCACTATATTTGTTATTTATATAAAGCTACCAATGTAAAGGAAAAAATTAATCCATTGTTAATATTTCTTTTAGGAACACCGTAAACAGGTTGAAGAGGAACTGGTCAGGGTCCGCGGACTTATTAGCATTGTGTTTGACTTAGGACGTTCCCGGGTCACTTGCAGAGTGAAACGGGATCTCTCTGTTGACAAACTTGCAGCTGCTGTTGCCCGCACTGAGAGTCTGTCTGCTCAACAAGTTACTACTAATGCAAATGGGGAAGAGGTTTGTACTCATGTTTATGCAAGGAAATGTGAAGGAAGCAAGCATGGCATTGTACCAATTTGCATTTTCATCTCTGCTGTGTAGGGATAATATCAGCCTCTTCAAATAGTTTTGATGCTGTTACTGTTTTGATTTTATTTTTATGATACTGTTTAGTTATTTTGTACAGAGTGTTAAAAAAAAATTCTGCTAAAATAGTATATTTATAATGTTTGTTGATATTTAATATTATGTATTTTTAGTACTTGAGACAGGGAAAGAATTATCCTTTCCATGAAGTATGTGATAATGATTGGTATGTATGTGTCTGTTGTGATATATATATATATATATATATATATATATATATATATATATATATATATATATATATTATATATATATATATATATATGAATATATAACCTCTCTCTTCGGGATCGATCCGTGCGCCAGATCGTAAGGCGGCAGCTCTATCTACTAGTCCACCACTCACTCAAAAGAATTGTGCAGCCATGGTTGCACAGTCCTTTTGAGTGAGTGGTGGACTAGTGGATAGAGCGGCCGCCTTACGATCTGGCGGCGCGGGATAGATCCCCGAACAGAGAGGTTATATATTCATGATAAAAATGCGATAGTGCATTGTTTCCATCTTTTATATATATATATATATATATATATATATATATATATGTATATATATATGTATATATATATATATATATATATATATATAATATGTATATATATGTATATATATTATATATATATATGTATTATATATATGTATATATATATATATATATTATATATATATATATATAATATATATATATATATATTATATAATATATATATATATATATATATATATATATTAATATATTTTATATATATTATATATAATGTATGATATATATATATATATATATATTATATATATATAATATATATATATTATATATATATTATATTATATATTATATATATATATATATATAATATATATAATATATATATATATATATAATATATATATATATATATATATAAATATATATATATATATATATATATAAATATATATATATTATATATATATTATATATTATATTATATATATATATTATATATATATAATATATATAATGTATATATATATTATACATACAATATATGTGTACTAGAGTTAACAGAATTTGGTTAGTTTTTAGTATGAATTGGCCAAAATATATATATATATAATTTTTCCCACAGCAGTTATTCAAAGAGATTCAGAATTATTGTTATTTTGTATCATGTCCCATAGACCTGAATTTAACATCACATAATTTTGTACTAATTCAAATGTATGATGATTTTTATGTCCACCATAATACATTTTGCTTAATTTGCATGCAGTATATATTGTACTTTACCAATGTTTTGCTTTTTTTATGTTTGTTTTGTGTGTCTCACTAGCAACATCCTATGGAAAGTTTAGTTTACTGGGTATACTGATTTTTAAATATGAAACAGACCTAATAGGTAAAGTAACACAAAGGGTTGCCTATGTATGTTAACAACAGACATTGAATATTCTTATGTTTTATCCTAAAAATATTCATCCCTTATAGTATTCCAACCCACTGTAATAAAACAAAACAAGCAATGACTCTCCTTATTTCTCTAGCATCAGACTACAGAAGATTAGTCTGCCTAAACTTCATTCCTGTTTTCAATTCTAATGAACTGACATTAGTAGTCTATTCAGTCTAAATAAATAGGCTCCTAGGAATGTTCTAAAACAGAAAGTTATGAAAAAGATCTGTCACTAATGGCTAAATCTACACCATTTTCTGTATTTGACATTAACCCATTGCTTCTGGAAGAATTTGGGATCCATATAATGAATAGTAGAAATGTAATTCATGCATCACAGTGAATTACAGTCCATAGCCATAGCCAAGACAGCCGTGACGAGAACTACACGTTATCTGGAGCCACAACCAAGTCAGCCATGATGTGAATTGCGTCATCTAGAGACAACTGGTTGAATACATTTTTGGAAAACATTTTTATAATTTCTAAATGAGCACCTTAAACCTGGATCATTGTCTGTACTGCAATTTAGTTTCAGAAAAAATAAAATTACTTTCCATATCGGAATCATTCTGACCAGTTGTTGAATCAGTATCCTCAATTTTTCATCATGATACTTACAGGAGGTAATTTTTTTCTAAATTCCTCTCATCAGATACCGACTCGTAAGAATCATCGCATGGTATGCATTTGAAAATGTATGATGATGGGCATTATGAGTACTATATTATATGGTATTAAGTATTTTCCAAACTGTAACTACAAATAATAAATTAGATGAATAAACATTTATTACAAAAAAAAAAAAAAAAAAAAATATAAATTAATATAATATATATATTATATATATATAATATATATATATATAATATTATATATATATAATATATATATATATATAATATATATATAATATAAATATATATATAA